GAGAGGAGCTGAGGGGCTCAGATGGGGTCACTGGGTGGTGATGGGTGTGTGAGGGTGGGCCCAAAGGGGGAACAGCCCCACAGTCACCAGAACCCAGCCCTGGAGCTGCCATCTGGGGGACAGCTCTGGAGCCCCAGCCCTTCCCAGCCCCACAGGGACCCTGTCCCCATGGCCACTGGCCCCACACCTTTGCTCCAGTCTCAGGAGAGCTGGCTGGACCAGTGGTTTGCATACCTGGGCTAGCGGTGACTTCCACACCACCTCCTGCCTCATCCCCTGGGGCTGTCCCCAAATGCCCCATTCCTGTGCCAGGTGGGGACAGCTCGGTGCTGGCCACCCCACACCCTCCTCTCCCCTCCTCTCAGGCCACCTCCATCCCAGCAGACACCCAAAGGTGCTGATGAAAACCGGGCTCATCCTCCTCATCATCGGCCACCTCAGCTTCATCACCGGGGCCCTCGTCCACGGCACCGTCCTGCGCTTCGTGGTCACTGCCCGCGATGTCACCTCCCTGCACTACGGTGTCACCAACAGCGCCTCTGCGGTCACTGCGCTGCTGGTACCCCTGCGACACGGGGGGACGTGGGGAGGGGCTGGGATGCAGGGATGAAGGAGATGGGATGCAGCACAGACACTGCTCCAAACAAGCCTTTCTAGCACAAACCCAGGGAATTCAGCACTCAGGGGCTCCTTACGGGGTGAGGCTGTTGGAGGTGAAGCGTTGCCCCCCGGATGAGCTTCCAGGGACAATGCCAGCAGGGAAGGGACACGGCTGGCCCTGGGGAGCTGCTCCCCGCTGACCCCCTGTGCTTCCTCACAGACCATCTCCTGTGGAGTCTCTGCCCTGCTGCTGGCCCGTTACCTCGGCTCTGCTGCCCTCGTAAGCATCCCCAGCCCCTCTCCCAGCACCCAGGGGCCCTCCCAGGAAGCCTGAACAGTCCCCACAGCCCCTCTCTGGGGTCTGCCCTGGGGAGGGAGCATCCCCGAGCTGCCTCTTCTCTCCCTCCTGCAGAAATGGGCGCTGCTGGTCCTGAGCGCCTGCAGCAGCCTGTGCTGCCTGTGCTGCCTGCTGGGGCTGCTCGTGGCCATCGGGCTGACCCTGGGCAACCAGGGCCGGGTGTTGCTGGCCCCCTGCTCCATCGACAGCATCGCCCTCGCCCCGGTGTCCCGCGAGTGCCCCTTCGACCCCACCCGCGTCTACGTGAGTCCCCCGTGGGCTGGGGATGTGCTGGGGATGGGGAGGGTGTGCAGGGAGCTGATGCTCCCGCTGTCTCCCAGAGCTCCACGCTGTCCCTCTGGGCCATCTCCCTCCTGCTGGAGGCCATGGAGATCTTCTTCAGCATCCGCTGCCTCCTGCTCGCCCTGGAGCTCCTCCGCCTTGGCCGCTGCTGCCATGGGACGCTCCGGATGAAGGTGATTTCTGATTCCTGGGCTCAGCTCCAGCCCCTCCCCTGCAGGGCTGGGACAGACCTGCCTGGGCTCAGGTGGATCCAAGGCTTCCACCCCTCTGGTCCCATTCTCACCATCCTCTCTGGCTTCCAGGTCTCTTTGCAGGCAGCCCCTGTGGAGAGCCCTGGCCCCGGGCAGTGCCGGGGCCTGCTGAGACTGGACAGTGTGGAAATCGCCCGGCTCTGAGCAGGGCCCGAGGGTTAAAGGACCCTGTGGATGTGTCCTGGCCGTTCCTGCCCCATTCCAGCCCCACGACAGGACTCTGCTGCCTCCCAGGATGTGTGGACACATCCCCTGGAACACGAGCCCATCCCACGGCCTTGGGTTGCCTGGGGCTGCAGCGAGGGATGAAACTGGGCTGGATCCAGACCCTGCAGGGAGGAACCTTCCCCAGGGCTTCCGTGTCCCCTTTCCCAGCATGGACTGCACTGACACAAACTTTATTCTGCAGGTATTAAAGACCAGAAGCATGGCCCCCTGGCCCCACGCCCTGCCCTGGCTATGGGGAAGGGGCTGACCCAGCCGTGGGACCCCGCAGCCACCGGGGCTTTGTCCCCTGGGCCGTGTCCCCACGCCTGCCAGAGATGCAGCAGTGGCCACCAGCGTGTCCCACGGGGCTGGGCTGTCCCCCTGCCCTGAGCCCTGCTTCTGGGGGAGCCTCAGGGCACCCATCCTCCATCCTCCCACCACTGCAGGAGCCCCCCAGGGATGGGGACTCCCCCCCTGGGCTCCCCTCACCCCAATTTCAGCTGGGTCCAGCTCTCATCCCACGAGGCGCTGTGGGGGCACAGCAGGGACCGCAGGGGCCGGGTAAGGGACAGTGACCATCTGCAGGGTCGGGGGTGCCGGGAGG